TTCGGCTGACAAGCTCTAGCATCCAGATCCCCACTGTCGCCCTGGGACTGGAGGAGTTCCCTGTTATGGCCCTGGGACCATGCTGCAGGGACAGAGATTCTCCAGTCTTGGGGCTGCAGTCAGGGAGAGGGAGGACCAAAAGGGGTGAGGCTGTGGGCTGGGTTACACGCAGAAGGAGTCAGGAGGAGCCTCCCACTTGCTCTGGCCCAGGGCCTTGGGAAACCTTAATCTCCCTCTGCCGGGATTCTGACAGAAGCCCGGAATGGCAGGGGATCTGGCAGCCATGCTGGTTCCCTGGGCAAAGTGGGGGGAGGAACAGGGGCATCCTGCACCCCTGGAAGGGATGGAACCATCAGGCAGAAGGGATGGGGCTAAGGCTAGGCAGCTCTCAGCACCACCTGGAGTGTGCCATGCTGTCCCCCACCCCCAGCTGTTAGAGCCACTCGGAGTGCACCACATGGCACTCTGGAGGCAATTTGAAGGGCCCAGGACTCCGGGTGCTGCTGCTGCTCACACACAAATTGTCTCTATATAAATATTAATCTCTAGTTTTAGCACTCCTTCAGGCTTTATGAGATCTTTCACTCTAAATCTCTAATATCAATTAAAGGCCTATTCTCTAGAGATGACCATGAATCATTCAGAGGTAAAGGTAAACTGCACAAATCTCTAGGCTGTATCTAGTTTAATTAAAGGTAGTGCCAACAACCAAGGTAATTAAAATGAGAATGGAACTAGGAAGTATTAAAAAAAATGTGAATTGATAATAAGTATGAAATTCTCCATAGGTAGTTATTTCCATTACACTTCTATAAAAACATTCATCACTTAGTTTCTCTTCACTGTCACCCAAATGTATATGTTTTCTTTGAATTTAAAGAGGCTTGTATGAATGTGTTTTAGCACAAGATATGGAAAAGTCTTCATCATGATAGGCTGAGAGGAGATGGCTAATTCAATGCTATCTTAATAAACTAGGAAGGAAATCAGACCTGTGTGAGAGAGACACGGAGAACCATTGCTACTAGTTCAGTACTCTATATTAGCAGCTCCCATCAGTCCTAACAAACTCATTGCATTTAATGATACTTTGCTTTCATAATACTGACCCAAAAAGTATCTGGTAAAGTCTCAAACAAAAGCTAAGACACACTGGTGGTTAATAGTGTGGTGAAATGTATCTACTGACACTATATGAGGAATTGTGACTATATACCAGAAATATGTTTTCAAGTCTGTTGCATCATGGAGTCTTCCACTAGACAGAAGGAAGCTTATTTACTCATCCCTGTCTCTAATGCAAATTAAGTATTTTAGAATCAACACAAAGGAAACCATGTTTGCATAGTAAATTGACAGGAAAAATAGGCTAATGGCCCATGTGAAACCAATCAGGCAGAGCACACTGGAGTCTGAACCCCAAGGAGATCAGCCCACTTCTGTAAATTAAGACAATACACTTGGGGAACTATAAGAAGAAGGACATTTTGTTGGGTATTCCACTGAGGAATACCATTGGCGGATGAGATGGAATCATGAAAAATCTAAATCCTGGTTATACCAAAAAACAAGAAGTTCTGCAGCAAAGCTTAGATGAGAGTCAAAGACTGTGGCCTTTAATTTTCAGTTTCTAAGAAGTGTGTTATATTTTTATTAGGGCTGTCAAGCGATTAAAAAATTTAACCTTGATTAATCACGCAATTAAAAAATGTAATTGCGCGATTAATTGCATGTGCCTCCTCTCTGAAATGCCACAGCAGCATTTCAACGGGGCAATGCTGCATGGAGCCCGGGACCAGCTGGGACTCCAGCTGATCTGCAGCTCCGCTGTTGCAAAGCCCCTTGTCACACCAGAGCAGCACTTTAAAGGGGCTTTGCAATGCAGAGCCGGAGATGAGGTGGGCACCATTTTGGCACTTTAAAGGGGCAGTGCATTAGGAGCCTGGGATCAGCTGGGGAGCAGCACTTCAAAGAGGCAGTGCATCATTAACACCTGCAATTAACGCATTAAAAAAATTAAGGTATTAATCCTGTCCTGCATTAATCGCAGGCTTTAATGCAGGTCAATTGACAGACCTTAATTTTTTTTTATTTTTAAACATCTCAGTTTCCACTATTCTTACTCAGTACACACGTGACTCTGTTCTTTGTTAATAAAATTACAGCTGTTTTTGCTATAAATAGATTAGTGCCATGTTGTGAAAAGGGGCCTGATTTTGAGTAGTATCCGTCCAGCTGGTGTGCACATGATCTCTTTTTGGGGGACAGTTTACGTGGTAATTACCATGAGTGTTCAGGGGGTGAACACTACAGGAAGAGTATTTGGGAATTAGGGTAGACTTAAGATTAACCTGCAAAGCAAAGTAGAATGGCAGAATCTCCAGAGGTTAGAAGGCTGGTGCTTTCTGTATACAGAAGCTGATACCCAACTACCACAAGATGAGCCCGTACATTAGAGGTAGGGGAATAACAGAGTAACCCACAAACATGGGGACCACAAAAAAGCATCATTGTATGCATATACTGATACCTGATCTCTTTTGTACAGTAGGAAACATAAGAACATAAAAATGGCCATACTGGGTCAGGCCAAAGGTCCATCTAGCCCAGTGTCCTGTCTTCCAACAGTGGTCAATGCTGGGGGCCCCAGAGGGAATGAACAGAGCAGGTAATAATCAAGTGATCCATATCTTATGCCCATATGCAATTTCTGACAAGCAGAAACTAGGGACATCCCTGCCCATCCTGGCTAATAGCCATCGATGGATCTATACACTATAAATTTATCTAGCTCTATTTTGAATCCTGTTATTTTCTTGGTCTTCACAACATCCTCTGGCAAGGAGTTCCATGGGTTCACTGCATGTTGTGTGAAGAAGTACTTCCTTTTGTTTGTTTTAAACCTGCTACCTATTAATTTTATTTGGTGACCCCCTAGTTCTTGTGTTATGAGAAGAAGTAAGACATGTAGCTATCGATGACTGTGTGTAGCCTTAATTTATCTGGCATGATCAGACAGTTACATGGAATATTTATAAAACTTGCTTACTTTTGTGTAAAATCTATGTCTTTTTTCTGAAGATCTCAGTATCTTAAACAATAAGCAACTAAATATAAACCCATGTAAGCATATCATTAATAAACATAATGAAGTGATACTAATAACAGCATTCACATTTAATAATAAACAAAAGCAAAGACCAGAAGTGAACAATTCCTACCTTCTCAAAGGACCTATTCATGTATCAGTGTATTATATGCGTATGCATTTAGAAATTATCCATCACAATATTAATTAAAGCAATTACATCTATCTAGAAGGAACAGTCATTTTCCACATATTCCGCTTAGAAAAATAAGGTCATTATTATTCACACACACCTCAAAGTATAAGCTATTCTTTATCTAGGCTTCACAGAATTAGATTTGTATCTTTTTATAATTTTGACAGATGATTTATTTTTAAACATTTGTTTTCTATTTTGATCAATTTAAATTTTAATGGTTACATGAGAAGATGGAGCTAACACATTTTTTAAAAATTGTATCTATTTTATGTGGTGGTTTCAGACAATTGGGATGGTCAGACAAAAATCATTTAATAGAAGCAGATGTTGGTATTTTTAAAAGTTTAAAGCTATCATAACATGTTAAACAAAATGTCAACATCATGTCAAAATATATGAAAATATCCTTAAATAAAACTTGAAGAGGTTCTCAAGCAGCCTTTTTCTTACTTTGCCTAATTGTAAATTTTTCTTACTATCTAAGGAAACATTTTTTCACCGATTAGGTAAAAATCGAATCCAAGCATATCTGTATTCCATAAAAAGGCAAAATTGGCATTGATTTACACCAATTTGTATTGACTACATGATTGGTAGATAAGGGGCCACACTGCAGAGTTGCAGCAGGGGTAGCTCCCGGAGCTGGCTGGAGCTGGGACTGAGCTGAAGTTGGGACTGAGCTGCCAGGCTCTTACTACATTTAAAATGCAGAGGCACAGCATCCCAGACCAGCGTTAGCCAGGACTGCTCAGTCCTGGCTCGCGCCAAGTCCAGCAGTCCCTGTTCATGGCAGCCAGAACTGTCCACAGGCAGGGGCTGCTGCTGAAGTACCCCCTGCACATGGCTAGCCCTGGCTGCGGTGAACAGAGGTAGCTGGGGGTGAGGCAGCATCGTGGAGATAGTGCTGGAGGGAATTGGCTTAGCTCCTCCCAGCACTGGCTCCTGTCCCCCTACCTTGTTGCCTCTCATACAGAGGCAGCAAGTGGGGGGGGGGAGGGAGCAAGTAGTTGAGTAGTCAACTATTCACTAACATACCTACTGGCAAAGACAGGATTTGTCCCTTTATGCCCATAATTTGTCCTTTTTGCTCTCAGCATGTTTCTACTCCTTTCATTCTGAATCTATCTGTGAACATTAAGTTGACAATAGTCTGAATCCCAAATGAATGAATGCTAATGCTTTACACAGTTTATAAAAATAACATGGGCTAAATTCAGAGGTGATAGGTAAACTATAACTTAGCATCTCTTGTGTTCACGCCTTTTACAAGAGTATGATAAATTTTGTATAAAGTATGCCTGTGAGGGAGCACTTGAAAACACATAATTTATTGATCCTAATTGTCCTGGTAAAATATGTGTAGCAACATTGCATTCAAAGTTTTAGGATTCTTCTGTGTGGTAATACTGAATTTATTCCAAGTCTGGTGGGAGCAGCTAGAAACCAGTTACCCAGAGACAAAAAACTAACAAATGCCCCCAGGTGTCAGCAAACTCAAATGGACCATCACCCAGTTAACTGGCCATTCCTTGGCAGGAAAGAGGATGTGGGTGATGATCTATATCTTGACAAAGAAACAGGTTAAGGTTCCCCATCCTTACTGACTTTCTGTCTCCAGAACTTCAGCTGGTGATGATTCTCAAAGAAGAGACATTTTTATGAGAGAAGAAAGGAGGCACTCCAGATTATCTTTCCCTTCTTTTCTACCCATAGCATGGAGAACTCTTGAAGAACAAAAGTATCACTGGACGGGGTGAAGGAGCCTGACTGGAAGAGATTCAGCGCGTAAGATTTCTGAAACATTTGGTGAGGGAGACCTCCATTCTGAATTTGCTTAGCTTGTTAAATTAGGTAGTAATTGCATTTTTACTTTTATTTTCTTGTAACTAATTCTGACTTTTGTGCCTCATTATTTGTAGTCACTTAAAATCTATCTTCCTCTAATTACTTGTTACCTAATATTTTTTCTAAACCAGGGTGTTTGGGAAACTCTATTTGGGATGACAGTTGTTTAGTTGAATGAGTTGTTCTAAGACCACTTCTACCTTGGTGTCCAGAAAGAAGAGACAAGTCTTCCTATAGTTCTCATAGAGCTGCTCAGCTTACAGTAGTAATAAGCATTTGGAATAGGTCCTCAGATGTCTCATGTGAGTGAGTACAGTGCAGATGCAGGACATCATTACCTCTCATGAGTCATTGTGGAGAGAGGCCGCTGTCACTTGTGGTAGAAGTGAGAGCAATAGTTTGATTTAACTCTGCAGTGAAAATCTACCAGAGGGGGTATCTGTTAGCTACATGGAACAGGGATGTGTAGCTTATATATCATCCCTTGCTCAGTAATGTCTCAAAGGTCAGAATTTAGCCCTTAGTGTTTCATTCCTTGAATTAATGTCATCAGTCAGAATTTATAAAAGGATGTAAAAGGAGCAGAAGCATACTTTATATAATCAATTTAGAGTCTGACCTTAGTTCTTACACAGGCAAAACTTTCACTAGCTCCGTGATTATGTTTTTATATAGCCCTCTACATACACAGTGCCATCCCACAAAATAGCACATTCTTTGGCATTGTGGAAGCAGGGAAAGGAAAAAGGGAATTTGTGTACAGCCATCTCTCTTATTTGTTAGCAATAAAGCAAGACTCAGGCTAACCCTGAGGCCTTGCAACGCGAGAACGAGAATTGCAAGAGACGTTTTCTTCGCCTCGCTCTAAAAGATTAGGATGGAATGCTGGTCCTAGTGGGAACCTTGAGATAAGGTAGCATCTCAAGGGAATTGTGTGGGCAGACAGATAATTTCTAGTTGTTGTTGTATGTAATGGGAAGGTATATATATTGTCTTTTATACTGCTTGTATTTGAAGATCTGCTTAGGAAGGGACCCCCCCGCCCATCCGACTGCAGCCTTCCCTTGCAATTGCTCGAAAAACAAACTGTCTCTGACTTGTTGCTTACCAAATGCAGAGTGAGAACTTTGTTTCCTTCCACAGCATCCTCAGTTGCTGTTTGTACAAACCTGAAGGGTTTTGTAATTTCATAGCATTCAGTGATGAATTGGCCATGGTTAGTGAAGGGAATAATTATAACCCAGAATAGCAGAACATGCCGCATTTCATAAGACAGAGCATTTTAAATTTGTCACTGGAATATTTATTCAGTGTCTGATGTCAGAATAAGGATTGATATCACATCCTACACTATCAATGTCACCCTTGAAGAGAGTAGCAAAACATAAATGAACTGACAGTCCTGCGGATCTGTATGGAGGAACAGTGCATAGTATTATCCCTTCAATGTGTTTTGAAAAGTAAAACTAAGAGTTCCAGGGGAAAAGAGATCATCTGTATTTATAATACAAACCTGCAGCCCCGTGAGCAGCCTAGTGCTTATTGCTCCAGCATACCTGTAAATAAAAATATTAGGCAGTTTCATAATTTGTGACAGAAAAAAAATAATGAAATTGTTTCCTATGAGTCTTAGCCTTGTGCGTTGATAGGGATACATGGCATGAAACAGCAAAAGGAACCTAATAAAATACTAATGGCTCTGAAAACAAATGATAATTGTTCTAGGGCTTCTATTTCAGTTCTGTGTTGTTTCTGGTGTAGGACCAAACCTCATTCCCATTACATTGGCAAAACAAAAGTTAATGACTGAGGAATAGTTTTTTGAGCTGCTTTGATGAAAACAAATAAACCAAAAGCCCATCTTTTCATCAATGAAAATGTAATAGGACATGTAGCCATATACCAAAGCTATTTCCACTAATGAATACATCATGTGCAGCAGATCTTTCTTTTGTTTTATTGAGGAACAATTAGGAATGCTATCGTTAGATTATTTCAGCAAATAAAACATCTTTCTCTGATTTTATCAGATGTAAGAGGTGTAGCCTATAAGCCTAACCTGGTCTGCAAACTGATATATTTTGTATAAATGTTTTACTGTTTCTATTCTGTTTTGGCAGTAATGTAAGGACCTACCAGGATCTTATTCTGTAAGAAGTTAGCTTTGACAGTAAGTTAATCATAAATAAGATATAGTAGATATTATATTTTTAAATAAGGTATTAAAGAATTAAACATTAAACATATAGAATTATATCTCGATATTAGAATGTGCTGGATCTAGCTCTTCAGGTTGGAACAGGTCATACCACAAAGCCATCATGCTGACACCGACAAACCAATATGTAGATGTAAAATGCAGCATGCAGACATTCTATGTCCTGACAATAGAATTATCATACATGGCATCTGATGACAATCTCATCACTGGCAGCGTTATGACATGATTATCTGAGTTTAATATCAATAGGCCCTAAAATACTCTGACTTGCAGGGGCAAACATCCTGCTTTCCCAGGAAGGTAAGAATGGTGGGCAACATGCGGTTCTTCGAATTTCAGTCAAAAATACCCATGTTCACAAGGACTCAACGTGACAACTCATGCATATTTAAAGAGGTGTTTTAATTTAATTCTCCAATCAAACATGAGCACCCACAAATATCTTAGGTTATGGAAATCTGGTTTTGGCTTTGAGGGCTGGATTAGAGATGATATAAGGCCTATAAACTCACATGACCAATAATGTGGAGCACGTTCGTGATCGTCATTTTTACACTTTCTTTACTTTCTTTCTAAACTTTTATTATAAGTACTATCTAAGTCTTCAGTTTCCTATATTATCATAATTTCTCGTCTCTCTCTGAGATCCCTGCTCCACCAGCGGAGTGAAGCTTGACTTCCAACTCTCCAAGATCATCAGGAGGGCATGAGTATGGTGTTATACTAGGTAATCGCAATTGTATACTTAAGCTATAGTCATGTTACCACCTGGTTGATCGAATCAATTTATGTAGTTATTGCCTTAAGCCTTTCACTATGTATACTTTTAATACATATTGCAATAAAAGTTGATTTAAGTTTTACCAGACACTGTGTGGGCGTGGTTGTTGTGGTTCCCGAAATCCCCCTACAGATTTAGAACTCAGTAGCTTTTAACTTTTGTGGCAGACAAATCTAGCAAACTTTCTGGTCAAATTGGAGTTTAAAAGTCCAAATTATATTCCAAAACTCCCCGGTTAATAGAGGTAAAATTTCTTGGGAAATGTATAGCATATATTTCCTGCACACCATGATGACTGAAAAGAAACTGCAGCAACTCCATTCATGGAGTGACAGCCAAGAACTCCAAATATTTATGAACATTCTCCTTTCACCAAGTTTGTGCCCCTTTTGATTCACAGTCCTGGAACATTTGCATGAATGGAGATTTGTTCATTCAGCATCTATGGAAAATTCCTTTGTGGCCCATTAACAAAATTAACTGCACTTGGGATGGTTTGTAGAGTAAGTTACTTTGTGGGTGGAGGTAGTGTGACAGAATCTCACCTTTTGTATTAATTTGGGGCTGATTGGTGCCTTCGCATATCCCTGAGTGTGAGGTAGTGCAGAAACTGTAGGAGTAATAGTCATTTTGGGAAGCACTAGTCTCTCTCTGATTACTTCAGAGATGGTAATTTGCTGCTGGCCTATGCCACTGTCAAACTTAAAACTAGTGCAGCTTTGCTGATTGGTATATTGATAGATAAAGTCAGGACTTTCCCTATTCCCTGGCCAATCTTCATCCCCCTACCCTTGGGTTAGTACATCCAGGGGTGCTGAAAGAGTTCTTATTAATTACTATGCCTCTGTACGGGTATATTGTCCAAGTTACTATTTAGTCCCTTATGATTAAACAAAATTTATTTTAGGCAAAAGTAGTTCATATAAAGGTTAGGTTATGCCTCCAGAGAAGAGAAACAATATTATGAGATTTAGGTGATTAGTCACACAGCTCAAACATCAATTTGTGAATGTTAAATATCCAAAGCAAAAAGTTGGTGAGCAACTTCAAGACTGAAATAAAATTGGTTAGTCTCGAATACCAAACAAATCTGTAAAACTGCTTTGTTTGTGGACAATTTGCAAGACGGCATGCATTTTTCTTTGTGAGATGTTCAAACAGTTAATTCATTAGCTGCTATTCTTTTGGAAGATCATATTTTCTAATAAATGCTCTATACGGTATATATTGCTTGATTGACAGTTCCCTTATTTTTCCTTGGGAAGATGAGTTCTAAGAAACAGAATAACTTTTCTTGGCTGGTTTCATCTAAAGGGGTCCAGATTTCACTATGAGTTCAAAGTAGTGACCCAAAGACACTGCGCACACACTTTGCTTTCTCCCTGAGGGTGTGTGCACCCTCCATCCATTCTAGCTAAAACATGGGCCTCAGGCCAAGGGGTATTTAACTAAGTGAATGATCTGGGCTTGGACTGCAGTATGAGCTCTGGGACCTTTGCACCTCATAGGGTCCTACAGCCTGGACTCCAGTCTGAATGTAAACATCTACACTGTAATTAAGAAGTCCCTTAAACCATGTCAGCTGGCACAGGCCAGCCACGGGGTTTTAACTGCAGCATAGACATACGCTAAAAGTCCTCCAACATCCAGCACTCAGGCCAAGTGGGGAAAGGAGAATCCAAATTTCACAAGCTTTTCTTAAAGCTGCAGCTTTCATTTTCTCTCTCAGTAAATAGAGATTAATTGAATGCATGAGAGCTCATGGAAAAGTCTACAAATAATTCTAATTAACTGAAAAGTATTAGATAGAACTCACAGTGATTTTGATGAGCCATACACTCAGTTCATCGGAGTATAGTATAGTGTTCTCTGGAGCTTGCAAAAAGTCGATGTAATAGTCCTTTCTATCTTTTACTTTGAGATACAGGAAAGGTGAGAGAGAAAGAGAGAGAGACTGAG